TGGATGACTAGCTGCCTTCCCTCTAGTCCTACACTGCTAAATTAGGGACGGCTAGCGCAAATAGCCCTCGTGTAGCTTTGCGCGAAATTCAAACACAACAACAACTGCGATGCTTTTCGCCTAGTACCAGGGCTCATCAGGCTGGCTAGGTTACAAAAGACAAATTTGGTGCGATTATATTTAACTTAATTTCATGGCCAACAATTATTATTGTGTGAAGAAGGTTAAGTTGATGACGTATAACGTTTAGCAATATTATAAATGTTTATTATTGAATTACTCCAATCACACTGATTAGTAATTTGTGTTTATAAACCAACAAGTGACCAATTAAAGTATTGTTTGTAGGAACGTCATTCACAAGGGTGGGGGCAAAGAATGCTGATCTGGTGTGGGCCCCCAAATTCAGCTGGGAAACCAATGCTATGGCATAACTTGCATACATGTATAAATTCTCCTAACTAGAAATGTCTCTCAGAAACTACCATTTGGAGCCCCTTCTGAACTGGAAGGGGAGAAGAGGTGAATGCCCCTGATTGCCTGTGGCTGGATGTTTTACAGTAGAAGTTAAACTTAACGTAAGAATGTATATATATATATATCTGTCAGGGTGTGTATATATACATATACTTGTGATATAGTTTTCATTGCTATAAAAATATCATTTTGGCTCAGCCACTGAAGGTGGACGGGGGTTATATTTTCACCCCTGTGTGTGTGTTTGTCAGCAAGATTTCTCTAGAACAGCTGAATTGATTTGGACGAAAGTTGGTATACGTTTTGACTATGACCCAGTTTAGAAGAAATTCGTTTCTGGAGGGTTAAGGTCACAACAATCCCTATCTGTTGACACGAGGACTGATTTTTCAAAAGTCTTGCTCTATGACAGTCAAAAATTATCTGTTTTTGATGAAACGTGGTGGACATATGTAGAATATTATTCCTCATTGTCCTGCGAAAAATGGTCCGTGTCCATTGGTAACGACGTACGTACGGATACATTTTCGTAGTTTGGAGGGCCGTATATGATCAACGCTGCGTGGTGCTAGTATGCACTCCACTGAGTGGTTCTATTCTATACTGTTGCTTCCTTTGTTATGCTAGTGAGAGTCTCTTAGGACTGTGTTCCTTTATGTACATAGTTATTATACAGATATATTCAATTCCTTTTGGTCGAAAAATCCAGGTCCAAATATTTGAGTATCTCGGGTTACCAATCTAAGTGATCCTATTAGATGACAGGGTTGATTTAAAAGTAGTTACAAATTTAATGTTTCTTTGAACCCATCTTCATTAATATTATTTTCTACCATCTTACGAACGTGGATTACAGTGTTAATGGTAAGGATAGCCGAATGAGGATTTAGTGCATTCCAATGTTTTATGTTTTTGTGTTGAGTTATAACAGTGTCCGTTAGTTGTATGGAATAGGCTTCACTAATGTTTGTATTACATTTTAAATGTGACTGTACAATTAGCTAGGTTTTGATCAGATTGTATTAATGACTACCTGAGGATCAAATGACCCTTCTCTGTGCATTCCATAAAAAACAAATTATTAATGGCGAAAGGAAAGAATGACGCAATTTGAGGGTCGTGGGTTCGAATCCCCGTCCCACCAAACATGTTCGCCCTTTCAGCCGTGAGGACGTTATAATGTGACGGCCAGTCTCACTATTCGTTGGTAAAAGAGTAGCCCAAGAATTGGTGGTGGGTAGCTGCCTTCCCTCTAGACTTACACTACTAAATTAGGGACGGCTAGCGCAGATAGCCCTCGTGTAATTTTGCGCGAAATTCAAAAAAACAAAACCAAGGAAAGAATGATAAATAATCGAACGTAAACGAAACTCGGGTATCGAAACTCGGTTTCTAGCGTTGTAAGACAACAGACATACCGCTGTGTCATTGGGGGGGGGGGCTATTTATGAGGGCGAATGACTTATTCGGCAAATTTACTGATTTACAACGCTCAAAATCTAGGTTTGATTATCCGCAGTGAACAGAGCACCGATAGCTAAAATAATATCAGCTTTACCTTGTGAGAGGCTTTTCAGTGAGACACGTGACATACTTATACCCTCATTTTTATCATCTGAAATACACTTGATAAGAAGATAAACTGTGTACACAACGTTGATATTATTTCTGTAGTTGTTAATCAATCCCGGTATCTATTCCAGATAAGGCTACTTCCTTTGACGTTGTTCACCAAGCCTGTTAACTCTCGAGGAGGTGCGAAAGTTAACTCTTTATAACATTGAATATTAGCCTGTTCATTTTAAATAGAACAATGACATATTTAAGTTTTGTTGTTTATATAGCGAATATAATAAAATTACATTTACCCGCCAAAATTTAAATTAATTTGTTTGGAAACTAATATGTTTCCGGGGTCGATAATAATTTTGATGGTGAATAATTAAAATGCTAAAGGTCTTATAAACATTTACAGGGGGACTGGACCCCCAAATATTAGTGTTGCCGGGGTCGATAATGATTTTGATGGTGAATAATTAAAATTTTCAGGGGGACTGTACCCCCAAATATTCTATTTGTCAGCACAAATCCAATTTGTTTTTAATTATGTGTGCAAAATATTTATCCGTGTTTTATGGGAAATCTCGCGCGAGAAATAACTCATTTCTTGTTTCGAAAGCTCAATTACAAACAAACAAACAATTTGAGAGGGTGGGGTGAATTATTGAATTCAACCGCGTTGCGTTTCTCTTTTTGCTTTATTTATGTATATTATTCAAATGATCCAATTAATAATTTTTATCTTTTGATGGACATTGGTCAAACGTTTTTCGTTGTTTGCCTAAAATTCACAAAGCTACACGGTGGGCCATCTGTGTTCTGCCCACCACGGGTATCGAAACCCGGATTCTAGCGTTGTAAGTCTGCAGACATATCGCTGTGCCAATGGGGTGGGGCTCTCTCAAATATAAGGAAGGACCTCGCATCGCCCCCAGAACATTTTTGTCAACTTTACATAATCTTTCCAAGTGTTAAATATACTGAAATTCGGCACTGACCCACAGAGAACGTAATTTTGCTGATATCGTTTAGAATTTTCTGGAAACAGTTAACTTCAAATTGAAACTTTAATTAATAGATAAAAAAGTTTTGTACTTAAAATTTAACAAATATGTAAGGTATTATTTATATATTTATGTGACTGGTAAAAGTACAATGCTCAGTAACTTAAACTAATTTATATAATAGGTTCTCGCATAAATAAACCAAGGTGAAACCTCGTACAGTTTTATCGATTTAGGCTTAATTTCCTGATAAGTGTGAAAGACGATAGAGGGCAGCATCCACCATAGTCACCCAAGAAGCGGTAGTTTTATCCTCAGGCTCACCATTGGCTTGGAAACTATTGAACTAAGCTCGCGGATCTGATTGTACACGTAATTCTATTTCAAAAAGAACATATATACATATGTGTAAATACCATGAAACTTTCCAGTGTGAAATAAGAGAGGGGAAGCTTCCAGATTTTGTTATTTTATAAAATTGATGACAGTTTTCAGGGTTTGATGTAACCAAGCCAGTTACTGCAGCTGGAGGTTTTACGTCTTTCACGGATTCTTTTCTTTGCAAAAATTACACATTTTATTCAGGAGAAAAGTTCACAATTAACTGAGCCCTCTGTATCTCGGCGGTAAACCTAAGGGGTTATAACGCTAAAAATCAAGTTTCGATACCTCCTGTGGGCTCAGCAGAGATAGCCCATTGTGAAGCTTTACGTTTAACAACAACAACAAAAAAAAACTGAATTAATTGATGAGAGTATTTAAAATTTGGCCCCCCAGTGGCACAGCGGAATGTCTGCGGACTTACAACGCTAGAATCCGGCTTTCGATACCCGTGGTGGGCAGAGCACAGATAGCCCATTGTGCTATTAAGCTTTGTGCTTAATTACAAACAAACAATTTAAAATTTGTAGGGTTCGTAAATACAACCCACAGAAACACGTTTATAAATTTTGTTTTTGAAGTAAAAAAAAAAAAGTTGACCAAGTATTAAAAGCTATAGTAGGTTATATTAGATTTAAGCATGTCGTGGTTTGAATATATCAAAACAATTAGTGACAACACGACGTGCAGCGAATTTCTAATGCTAGTGTGAGATGTTTCATAAAAAGGATAAAATTTAGTATGTTTTTATGTGTTTATTTAAAGAAAAATGTCAAATCGTTTCACGAGGCTCTAAAACTTTTGAATTCATATGACGTATATCGTGACGTCTAACATATTCGCCCAATAAAAATGGGAGCCGTTCCTGTCCTTCCTCTCTGTGTATAGAGGGGTTTGCTGAAATAGAAAAAAACAGTGTACGTTTTCAGGAAACGAGAAACTTTCGTTAACATAAATCTCTCGTAGCTTCGTTCTATGCTTAATGTAATATCGTTTTGAAAGAAACGGATACATATCAAGTAAGTCCTTTAAAATTTTTTATTTGGAAATCCTTGATGTCATTCCAAATGCAATATAAAATATATTATAAAGTGAACAGGTATGCAGTACACTGGTTTTAAAAATTCCGGAAATTAATACCTACATTTTCGTTTTAACTTGGTGTGTTTTTACACACCTAATCTTTCAGTGCTCATAGTTAGGCCCCAAAATTCCTAATTAAAAAAAAAAGGTCCCCCAAAGGTTTTACGTTATTTTAAAAAGAATGACTCCAGAAAATTACTTATTTGTTTAAGATAATGATGTACAAAACTCCACCATTTGCGTCTAGTTACTCGGTTAATGTTGTAATAAATACAAATTACTCAGTTTTGGTTTTACCTGGCTTTTTTATGTACAGTCCTTTTGGGGCCCTCACAAAGATTAAAATTTAATTCCAGATTGTAGTTTTCGGTTGCTATATTTCCTAACTTTTATTAGGTAAGTCCTGAGTCTATTGCATGTTGGGTATGTTTGACCTTGAATAAGTAATACATCACTTTGGGACGCTCCCACAATCAGAACCCGCTGCGTCGAGAATAGCCTACATATACCTCAGACTCGTCAACAGAACGCTTGAACTGCTTATGCTAATACATAGGAGACGTAACTCCGCAGTTCTACAGAATGTTGGCTGCCATAAAAAGTACGTGTTCTCGTACTTTACAAGCTGTGCGATAGGCCTCACATTTCACACATGTTTTAAAACAGAAATTTACCACATCAACTTCAAAACTTATTACTTCAATTAAGAAAAACGGATGGAATTGTTTAAAATGTGATTTAACGTCGAATAACTGAATTTAATGAATATAAGATAAACCAATCCACAATAAAAAAAATTCTTTTGTTTTGCCACTTATTTCATAGCTTGTCACGTGATCTAAGGTATCAAGTAAATTAATTTACCACAAATCGTCTGCTAGGCTAAACAATAAATTAATTTACCACAAATCGTCTGCTAGGCTAAACAATAGTTACAGTTTGTTACTCAAACTAGTTCACACCGGCCTAGTTGTCTAATCTGAAACGCTATGTACACGTTTATATCAATGTGAAACCATGACGAAATAGGGAAGTGTTGAGACAGTCTAAAACTGTATGTTACAAACATTAATATTTCAAAATAATATAACATTGTTGTCCTTTTCATTTACAGCCTAATAAGTATGAGAATCGTAGCTCAGCAGAAGCGAACACGGAAGTTTTGTTTAAATACAGACCAACCAATAAGGATCGGACGTTCAGTTCAGGGTACATGAACACTGAAATTTCGAGTTCTGTAGCCAGTAGTAGTAAGTCGGGTTTTAGTCGTCAGTGTGTTGTTGGTTTAGTACTCTTTACGTAAGGGAAGTTTCAGGTTCAAATCAAAGAAAGTAAAATATATTGTCATATATACGTATCCGTGTAGTGTTAGAAGGCAGTGCATATGTTTCGCATATAAAACAGCACAACTTTAAAATTCTTTTCGAATACCCGCAGAACTTTCATCTTACTCAAGTTTGTTTGGTCTTCAGAAGCTAGTCTGAAGTAGTGACTGATTTAAGATGTCTAACGATGACGTACTGATGAGCGTAGCCCTCGATACCTGTAAAACACTATTTGTTACAATCAGTTTGTACGTAAAGTATCTAAACAAACTAATAAGTACCTTGGACGTTATCAGAAAGATATCAATAAGTGATAAAAGTTGGCATGATGCCTTGGAGAACGTCCCTTTGGAAAGACGGTCATTTTACCAAGGAAGAACCATTTTTGAATCTGTCAAACAGGTGCTGGTGTCAGTGACGTCGTGGGAGGGTTACCTAAAGACTGCAGTTGAAATGCAACAGGAACGACAGGTAAACTTAGGCATAGGCTTTCCGTGTGGGAAGACAGGACAGCAGAGTTTATCCTTGTCAGTAGCTATGGAAGACTGGGAAAAGTCAACAGAAACAATTTCAGAAGTTCTCGCTCAGTGTACATGTAGACCAGAATTGGAGGCTTTAATATTAGATGAAGATTATCAACTTCTGGAAACTTCCAGCGAAAATTATGCGATTATTTTCCAAGGATGTGTTTCAGCTCTCGAAGCCACGAGTGCCTGGATTTCATTTGCAACTGCCTTGGCAGAAGTTAAAGAAAGTCATTTCCGAGATAAAAATGTGCCAGATCAGGAGTGCTCTTCAAAAGCGTCAACTTTGATTGGGGAAATGTCACGGCTGCTGCAAACACAGAAAGAAAAAAATTCCCATTTCCAACTTAAGAAACTCATAGACAAATCTTTAATTTTGAAAAGATGTGCTGAAAATAAGAACTCTTTACAAAGTGGTAGTCCTTTTAAAAAAATGATGCAGCATCCAAAATTTCAAAATGTAGTGAAGGACGTAGAATTGTTTATGAAATACATTTATGATGTGATTAAGGATTTAAAATGTCGGGATATAAATTTTAATTTTGAAGAAGAACTACAGACAGCATCAGAAAAACAGGAATTTTTTGAAGAGCTGTCGGATATCAATCTTCCGATAGCTGCAGATATGTTAGACAAGATAATGAAACAGGTTAATGACGATTGGGAGAGACTCCTGTATCTTCAGGTTCGATTTGAAATTGCCATGAGGTATGATGGCAGCCAAGTAGCGCGAGGGATTGGAGAAGAAATGTACCGTTTAGCCAAAGATATTCACGAAGGTAAGATACAAGTTGAAAATAGCGAATACTCTAAACGTTTAGCCATTTCCTATCATATTTTGGCGTGCATGAACTGTTCTGTTGTAATAGATCAGACGCAGTATAGGCGAGAGTTATTGGAGGCGAAGCGCTACCTAGAAGAAGCTGCAGAAATAGCACTTTGTGAAGGAACAGAAAGAGATAAGACACTTTTATATTTCGCTAGAGAGAGTTATGTCGATTTTAAAAGATTTTATAACAATGTTATTAATCCTCAAAGAAGTGATAAGCGGACCAAGAATCACAAAACATTGATTAAACATCTTGTGGGTAAGTTTTACAGGCAGGTAGATAGGCATAGTGTTTACAAGAGTGCTGTTCATCCAGGAAGTTTTCTTCAAGATACATTAGATGTTGCTGAAGAAGAAAAAGATGCAAGAGCTATGGCTAGCGCTCGTATACAACTTGCACAGACGTATGAAGGAGAGGGAAGGTATTCCGAGGCTTTGGAGAATATTTTAAAATCGGTAATGTATATGTTGATGACTGGTGACCTTGCAGCTCTTTTGACAGTGTTTCCGTTTTTGATCAACACACACAACAATCTTGGAAATATTGAAGACGTTTTGAAGTATTGCCTTATTGTAGATGAGATAGCCACAAAAACAGATTTTGGATTTGATGCGTGCATTTTATTAACTTCAATTGCCAGTCCTGCTTTATACAGATTAGGATTTCATGTGGAAGCAAACGACCTCTGGATGTATTTTGTGCAAGCAATTAGAAACCAGGTCGATAAATACTTCGGCATTGCTACCGGATTTGAAGCACTTGGAAGGTATGAAGAAGCCTTGAAATATTTACAAAGATACAAACCGTACATTGATGTGACAAACAGAGGTTCCAGGGACGAGTTATTTCACCTTGCATTGTTATTTACAAAGAACAACGATTTGAAAAGTGCTGAAAGATGTCTGAAGAGTGTGATATCTAGACAAGAAAACTTCAGACCAAAATTAGGTCAACAGGATATTTCCAGTCTTGCAAGTTTTGAAACAGACATACTTATACGTTATGAATTCCTACAAGAACTCCTGATTGAAAATAACCAATATTTAGAAGCCTTGGTGAAGGTTGAATTTTCAAGAGGTCGATCCATCACTGATTTGATGCAACAAAATGTGTTAGGAAATGAAAGAATTTCTCAAATATATTCAAAATGGGCTTCGAGTTACGATTCAGAGGAAGTTAAAGTAACCACAGAAATCTTGGATGAGTTCCTTAAGGCTGCAGACAAGTTTCAAACAAACTTTATTGTGTATTCTCTTATACAAAATAGTGTCTTTATAACAAGACAAAGTGCCCCAAAGACTGTCTGGATTTGTATCTGGTTGGTAAAGTGCAAAGGAAGCTCTTGTCAAGATACCCAAAGAATCGTTTTTAGGACATCATTTGTGGACCTAGATACACTTCCTATTGAACCTCATAGCATTGGAGGATTGTTTCGCGAATTGGCTCATCGTTTACGTGGATTATCTGTTTATCCAGAGGGAATAAAAGACACAACTAATTTATTTGATCAATTCTCCCAAGAAAGAGAAAGTACAGAAAGATCTACAGGCATGGAAAGGATCACTCTAAGTGATGAAGTATCGGACATATCTCGAATCCTGTATGACTTGTGTATTGAACCAATTGCCAGTTCTCTTCCCATGGCTCATGGTGACGCTCCTCTGTCAATCACCATAATTCCCGACCGTTTCCTTTGTGACATTCCTTTCTGCGCATTGAAAAGTTCAAGTGGGCATTTTCTTATTGAAACTTGTACCATTTCTTATGCTCCCAGTCTTCTTGGTTTTTTAATGCTAGATGAACGTTTTCAATATCTAAAGGAAAAGCAAAATACCACTAATGAAAAATTACGCGTTGCAGCTTTTGGAAATGCTGTCACGAAAGAACTCCAAGATTTGCCGTCGTCAGAAAAGGAAATTTCGTGTATTGAAAAAATATTCGAAGAGCATTTATGCTCAACGTTTTTACAGCACGAGGCAAAAAAGGATATTTTGATGAAGCATCTTGACCGTTGTGATGTGCTACACATTGCTACGCATGCAAGCTCTGTAGTTTATAAAGGTCTTGGTGAGTTTTCCTATGGAAGTTCCATTTACCTAACCCCCTCAGATCTTTCTTGCAGTGGAATACTTACCGCTCAAGAAATAATGAAATCATCTAGCAATTGCCTGTTCGTTTGTCTTAGTTGTTGTGAGACTGGAAAGGGAACTCCAACTTCTGACATATCTTTAGGCCTACATCGAGCATTTCTTGCGGCAGGGGCATCCGCAGTATTGATGACTCGGTGGAGTATTGCTGATCGTTTTACCTCGGTGATGATGGACGTATTTTACACCTACATCAAAGAAGGTATGACGATAACAGCTGCATTGCAGAGAGTGATGTGTGATAATGTTAGAGCTGGTGTCTCACCATCCTTATGGTCATGCTTCTCATTCTATGGAACGCCAAATGCACTTATTCTAAGCCCTGTTAGTGTATGCAATAAATCTTTCGAATAGAATATGTAGTGGACAAATCGAAGAAAGAGTGCAAAACTTTTATTACATTTAGTACTTTACCTCAAAAGTGGTAACTTGTGTCAAATTATGAGTACAAACATACTTCAAAATGGTAAATCATCGAGCAAAGGTAATGCTATATTTGATAATGATAATCAGTTATAGCTCTTAATAGGAAATAAAAAGTGAATAAAATTCATATTAAAAAACAAATCTTTGGTATGAATTTTTCAATCGTATTTATAAATATATCTATCTATGCACACACATCACAAGGTATTCAAATCTCTGTAACATTATCCAATATTCAAATACTTTTACGATCGTAAATTACGCTACATAAAGATTCGAACTTTTGAAGATAAAAAGTTTGTTGTGTTACAAATAAAAATACGTTAAAATAAGTAGGATAACTGAATTGTATTAAAAAGTTAACTTTTGTGACAAATATTTTAGATACCTTTAGTCTGCCTTTGTAGAAATTCTGTCGAGTTACGTGTAATTGTTGTAATTAATGGCAACAATGAAACAGTTTGATGATTATATGTTACACATTTACTCTCGCTCTCTCCAAAGGTAAAATTGAAAAGAGAATCTGTGACGTAGAAGCCTAATGCTTTTTTGATTGGTCGTACCCTCTGCCGTGGTCTGCATCACCTATTCAATGCTCATCAGCACAGCTTGAGCTGAGAAATTAAAGAAATACAGTTAGGCCTCTTAGAAGGGTGATTTGTGTGTAACATTTATGGGTTTTTTAAGTCCTTTTCAATCACCAATAAATTAACCTAAACTAATTTAGGTGTATGAATAATATTACGACTTGTGCCTAAATCATTATTCCATATTATGTATTGGACCAACTATCTAATAATTATATATAGAGAGCAGTAATATATACAGAAGTATGTTTTAGCAAATAAACGAGTTTTTTAAACAGATAAATCATTCAGACGAACGACAGTTTCATCATCAGGGTCAAAGATATTAAAAGTAAACTGTGTAAGTACTAGTAGTTTGGGGAATCTCCGTTTCAATTAAATTCGCGTGGAATGGCAGTGTATAATACTGTTTAACTTGAATAGGTAACTCTCGGATGTATCCTTCCACAGTTCAACTATAGTTTCCAAAGGAAATCAACGTGAAACGAACTAATAGGGAAAATCTCTCGGTCGGATAAGGCCAGCACGGATGAATGTTTCATTGCAGAAAGTGCTTAAACTCAGGACAGGAACTAAGGCTTTCAGAAATAGGGGATTGACGAGAAACGTCCTCACTATCGTTTCGAAAGACTCGACGGGAAACAGTGGGCGAGTTACAAGCCTCCACTACATCACAAACATACATGTATATTCCTTCATATCAAAAAGACGAGAAAATATAATAAAAAGGAACAATGGAAATTTAGAATCTTAAACCGATCGAAAAAACAAACATATCACCCGAAATACTTTTCTCTTTATCCAGAGAGAGAGAGAGAGATCTTCAAGCTATACAACAAACACAATAGTGGTCGAAACGCCATTTCTATAAACCGTTTGATACAACAACAATTGTTATGGTGTGTCTACGACTTGTATGAGCTGGAGAAACGCGATTACCATTATTATTGCCATAAGACTTTAATATTAGCCATAATACATTTTAAAACTACATTGTTTCTTTATACTTGTTATAATTGTAATCTTACTTTGGCGTCGGTAGGTGAAGAAATTTCAACTTGTAATCAATTCTTTGAAATGTTTTTATTTGTCTTATAAATAATCAGTCGTTATCAAGCTAGCATCTAAGTACTAGTTACTTGATTATAACTTTTTTTTTCTCAACTTGTTTATCTATCTTTATTTTGAAAGCCGAAAGTTTCATAAGCGCAATAATGTACATGTAAGACTAAAACGTCAATAACTTCTGTTTGTTTGTTTTTGTGGGAAGCAGTGTCGCCATCTATTGTTAATTAGGGGACTTAATAAAAGTTGACAGAACCAATTTAAATGGCCTGTAAATCGGACTAATTAGAGAGAAACTGTATGGGTAAAGTTTCAACGAATTAGGTTGTACATGACACAAAACATAACTACACATGAAGGTTCACTAAATGGGTTGTTTTGTAAGGAAAGACACATTACTCAAAAGACAATATAACAAACTCGTATATAAATTAATACGACAAATAAACTTATTAATATTTTTCTAGTTTCGGAAACTAGGAGCTTGTATGTTTACCTGAATGTAACCTTTGACACACGATAGGCTAAATGGCCAGGTCAGACATATTTATGATTCAAGCATGGCTGTATTCAATTTTTAGCTGCAGACTAGAGAAAAGGGAAGCAGTATACAGTACTCGCCGTATAAAGCAGCTATTCTAAGCTGATAAAGAATGTCAATATAAAGCAGCTATTCTAAGTTGGTAAAGAATGTCAATATAAAGCAGCTATTCTAAGCTGATAAAGAATGTCTATTTCAAGCAGCTATTCTAAGTTGATAAAGAATGTCAATATAAAGCATCTATTCTAAGTTGATAAAGAATTTCATTATAAAGCAGCTATTCTAAGCTGATAAAGAATGTCAATATAAAGCAGCTATTCTAAGCTGATAAAGAATGTCAATATAAAGCAGCTATTCTAAGCTGATAAAGAATGTCTATTTCAAGCTTAGAATAGCTGCTGCTTTATATTGACATTCTTTATCAAAGAATAGCTGCTTTATATTGACATTCTTTATCAGCTTAGAATAGCTGCTTTATATTGACATTCTTTATCAGCTTAGAATAGCTGCTTTATATTGACATTCTTTATCAACTTAGAATAGCTGCTTTATATTGACATTCTTTATCAGCTTAGAATAGCGTAAGTTTAATAAATGGTGTGGAAGAGCACTGTAATGAAATCCAGATGCGTTTAATAATAGTGTAAAACAATAATATAATTAAGTCCGAATTAGTTCAATAAATAACGTAGCATAGAACTGACACCATTTCTACTGCCTTTACTCAATTTGAAAATCTTGCTCTTAAGTTAGTTTAGAACAAACAAATAAATCAAATGAGATAACGAACTGATTAAATAATATTTCAAATGACACAACTGAAAAGAATAGTTTTCCTTACTTTATTAAGATATTCCAGTTCTTACCGAGGTTGCAGAAAAACAAAACTGAATAACTTATTCAGAGAGCTTCTCTTTTCGCAGACATAAAATGCTAAAATCCCGGGTTCGATTTCTCGCGGTGGACACAGTAGGAAGCTCAATGTGGCTTTACTGTAAGTCAAACATACAATTTTTTTTCCCCCTCTTCGGTTGGTAAATTATTAAACGTGTCTATTTGGAACCCTCGGGAATTAACGGCCTAAAAACAACTTGTATCTACATTGGATTATCGGTTAAGTCCCCCGAGAGCAATCGAACCCCATAAACTTACCGCTGTTCCACTGTGAGACTCGTGGTTACAAAATTATACAATCTGTACCTGATAAATTCTACTACTTCAGGGGAAAGAATGTCAAATTAATCTATACTTTCAATCTTCTTGAGTCAGTCTGTGACAAAAAGTTTCCAAGTTCCTGATGTCTAAACACCACATTTATATTGACATTCTTTATCAGCTTGATTCTACGTTATTAATAGTCGTAGTCAGACTTTAATACATCACCCTCTTGTGAATTGGCCTAAATCAAGTCTACCACTGACCATTATGAGGATCGTAAGAGATGTGGTTTTATATCATTTTAAACTTGATAATTGGAAATGCTGTAATTACTTAAATTATTGTCCCTAAAAGTGGAAATAGAGTTAAATATGGATGCAAGTGCAAAAAAATGCGGGAAAAAAAACAAACTCGTGGTTTCAAAAGATTGTTTAAAAATTCAGAAGAAATTATAAGTGTTCGTTCTTCATCAAATTCACACTTAAAACTTGCTAAAATGTTATAATCAAAACATTTTTCATTTATAATAACGGACATAAAACCCATATCTAAAATTATCGAAAACGTGCATGTGTTAATATTTAATGCGAAAAAATGTACGTGCGCGCGCACACACACACACACAAATGTAAATAAACCGAAGCCTAATTGAGTAACACTCTAGTGGTGAAAACTTAAACCTGTTTCGTGTAGATGACGTTGCCATGGGAGATGCAATACCAGTGCACTAAATTTTTGGGCGCCATTATTGATTCTTCGTAAATCAGTGATGGAGAAAATATGACTACGTTTCCTTTAGTATCCCTTTTTACTCACTCGATATTATCGCGTTAAATAGTCACTAAAGAAATGAAAAGTTACTGTATTTTAAAATAGTTTTAATGGGAATAACTACTCTTCACGAAAGTTCCGTGAAATGAGTTCACGACATTTCAATCTTTTACTGCACATGTACATTTTCTTGGTACGTTCCAGTTCAGAGAAAATCGCCGATCGACAGGCGAATTTCTAAAATATTTGGAAATAAATAGGATCCGCCCGCACTTAGCATTATTTTCTAACAAACATATACAGTTTGGTGTTTCGTAGTTTTTCTCAACCGTCCTGATGGGCTGTAAATTCAGCAAAGTATCACCTGGAGGGATAGCAGTGGAGAAAGATGTCACCCCAGAAGTACCGAAGCAGTTGGACGTGTCTGTTACTAAACTACAGCCGGGAAGAATAGAAGAATACATATTAAACAGACCGATCACAGCGAATTCGGCAACACCTTCGTGGACATTTCCAACCAGCGAACATGATGTATCGTCCACAAGTGATGACGCAGTTGAAGACTTATTTCAGGTAAATCTGTTGTTTTATTAAGAGGGCCCGGCGTGGCCTGATTCTTAGCATGGCGTACTGTGAATCCGAAGGTTAGGGTTAGTTCAGTTGCCAACCCGCATTGTTAGTTTAAGGGGACGTGGGTGTGTTATAAGAGTAACTATCAGACTCCACAATTCGATTAGAGTAACCCCAGTTATTGACGGTGGCTTCTGTTGACTAGCTGCATTCCCTCTAACCTGTTAACCCCCCCCTTCCAACTTTCTGTTGAAGAACCTGTTCATCATCAATTAAGACTTTAGTGGACTGTCACAGATTTTACTTGCTTAGAAGTAAATACAGGTCCAATAAGAAGCTAAGATATGTCTGAATTGTACATTGACGCTTTCGGTTGATCTGTATGAAACTGTGTTACTAATCGTGTCTAACTGTCACGTAGAAAATATGCCCTAA